CCCCAGGGTCCTGCTCCCTCAAGTGTCTCTTAGGTAGACCCTCTCCCTGGTACTGTGCCTGTTGAGGTAGTTGTAGCTTCAGGTGCTGCATCTGGAGGTGCTGCGTCTGGGGGTGCTGCGTCTGGGGGTGCGGAGCCTGGGGGTGGTGAGTCTGAGGGTGCTGGGTCTGGGGGTGCTGAGCCTGGAGGTGCGGAGCCTGGGGGTGCTGAGCCTGGGGGTGTGGAGCCTGGGGTTGCTGAGTCTGAGGGTGCGGAGTCTGGGGGTGCTGAGCCTCGGGGTACTACTTCTTCTGGAGGTCCTGCGGGTGCTTCCTCATGACTGTCTCCCCGGCCGGAGCCTCTCTCCCCGCAGCAGCTGTGTGAGTGGTTTGCTCAGCGCACACGCCTTCGGAGTGGAGCTGCCGGAGCTAGAGACTCTGCCAATGGAGACACTTGAGCTGGAGGTGTTGGAGCTACTCGTCTTGGAGATGCTGGAGTTACTGCTGGAGCTGGTGGTACCAGTGGTGCTGCAGCTGCTGTTCCTGGAGGTGCTCGTACCAGGGGCACTGGAGCTGCCGGGACTAGTAGTGTTGGAGGCGTTGGCACTGGAGGAGCTGGAGATAGAGACCCTGCAGAGCCTGGAGGTGCTGGGGCTGGAGCCGCTGGAGCTAGAGACACTGGCGCTGGTGGTGCTGGAGCTGGAGGAGGTGTAGCTAGAGACACTGGAGTTGTGGCGCTGGATCTGGAGGCACTGGCGCTGGTGGCGCTGGAGCTGGAGGAGCTGGAGCTGGAGACACTGGAGCTGTCGACCCTGGAGCTGGAGGTGCTAGAGCTGGGGGTGCTGTGTCTGGTGGTAATGGTGCTGGAGGCACTGTGCGTTCGCGACCATTTTTTGTTCCCCTGCTTTGCCAGGTTCTTAGTCTACCGACCTCTACTGGCCTTCCTCCTAGCTTACTGAGTCCACCGCCTTGCCCGTCGCAGCCACAGTTACAGCCAGGCTCCCCTCTGCCTACTCCCTCTCCTTACGCTAAGCAGACAGACTCTTTTACAGAGCATCGTGAGCCTGAGTCTCGTCCTGACTCGCCTGTTCGCGCTGTTCCTACTGGTCGTCAGGTTCCTCGTCCTCGTCCTCCTCCTGTCCCCGGCACCCATGCTAAGGCACTTCGTCCTTCCTCTATTCCACTGCGTGTTCCTCTGCCGCCTCCTCCTGAGTCCTCTCTTCCTGCCGTCCCTGACCCTAAGTCTGACCTCGCTCGTGCTGCCAGTCCCATTGTCTCTCGTCTCCTCGCCACTGTTGTCGATGACCCTTCTTTTGAGTCCACTGCTGTTTCTGCCCTCGTTGCTAAGCTGGTTGACTTTGCTGCTGCCTGTCGTCTAGACTACACCACTGCTCTTGTTGCTAAGTCGGAGTCTGCCAGTCCTCCGTCCGTCGGGGGTGAGTCTGCTCTTGGCACGAACGTCCTTGAGGACAGGCAGGAGGACTTTGAGTGTCTTGCAGCTGCTGTACCTCGTTTCGCTTCCATGCTTCTTGCCCCTGAGGGAGACCCGGATGCACCTGACATCCCGACCCCGCGCTCTTACGCAGAGGCGATTACGGGTCCTTACTCCTCTCAGTGGCAGACAACCATGGACGCCGCGATGGCATCCTGGAAGTCCACAGGCACCTACGTCGACGCAATTCCCCCGTCTTGGGCGAACATAGTCGATGGCATGTGGATTTTCAGGGTGAAGCGGCCGCGGGGTTCTCCGCCTGCCTTCAAGGTGCGTTACGTTGCTCGAGGCTTCAGTCAGCGACAGGGGGTCGACTACTTCCAGACCTTCTCCCCCACCCCAAAGATGACCACTCTGTGGGTGTTGATGCATGTCGCTGCTCAGCGTGACTACGAGTTGCACTCTCTGGACTTCAGTACAGCTTTCTTGCAGGGCAGCCTGCACGAGGAGATCTGGCTACGCCACCCACCTGGCTTCACTGGGTCGTTTCCTGCAGGTACCCAGGTCGTTTCCATCAGATTCGATGGCAGGACCTCCTGGGAACAATAGAAATGACGGTGCTGGGGTTGTGAGAGGCCCTAGTACCTTTTCAAGCTCGAAGGGGAATGAGGGACAAAGTGTGAGAAAAAATGGTCCTCCTGGTTTGGGAGCTGGAATGATTGTGATTATTGTGGTTGTGATTGTTGTGACTGTGCTTGCGTGCTGTGGTTGTGCTGTCTGTGGGGTGTGCATGTGGCGGCAGAGGCAAGCTGAGAGGAATGCTATGGAGGATATGAGGTCGGAGGTGACCCGCATGACAATGTCCTCTTATGGAGGATCGTTTAGTGTACACTTGTACTCGAAACCAATTGGAGTTTTGCCAGAGTTTGTTCCAGGTGCAGGGTATCAAGACCACAAAGCAACACTTCCTTCTGAATTGCTGCCAGCCAGATTTGGCGGCTCTGTGGTTGAAGTTGGTGTAGATGGGAGAGGAGGGTCGGTTTCCATGCCAACAAATGGAGGTGCTGTACAGAGAAGGCCGAGCATAGGATGCAACGAAGTAAAATGCTAAAGCATATATTATAATTTGTAAAAGTGTAACACTTTTTCAAATTCGTATTGTGAAAGCGAGGGCGTGGCCAGCAAAGCAAAGGTAGCGGCTCGATGCTACTCACCCCTCTTTTGCCTACAAAAGAGGAACGTGATTCCAGTACCGTCATCGCCCGGATATAAGACATATATGTCTTATCTCGTACACGGGCAAAAATGCTTGAGTTATCTTGTAAACGGGATGGTTTAGGGTGTCTTATAAGTCTTATAAATGGAAACTTTTTAAACTACTTAGAAATATTTTCCGTACTTCTTGAAAAAGAGTTTCTCATAATGAGTGTGGATGTTGCGAAGGTGCCACTTCGACAACCTCTGCCCGGGACGCCACGTTATGGAGAACACCTGCAGGGGCAAATTTGGTAGGTCCTGGGTCAGCGCGTGGAAGAATTCGCGCTTCGCAAGGGTAAAAATGTACGCGGTATTTCAACTTTCGCTATAATTTATTGAAGTTTCGATTATAAGACATATATGTCTTATCTCGTACACACAAATAGGTGTTTTATAATGAGGCTAGCCTGTTTATAAGAGACACCCGTATAGTAGACAACCTCTGTCTACTATTCAACACTGTCTTATATCCGGGTGATGACGATAGCTCCACCCACGTTCTTCATTTCCATTTTCTAGTTTTAGGGCGTATCCTTGGGTGGTGGCAGGGCCACTGTAGATGGCAGGCGGTTTTTGCGGATGCCACGAATCCCTATAACAGCAGGTTGGTGGCACAAAATTGCCAAACATACGCTGCAAGGCGATTGGTCGAACGAACGTATCGCATGGTTGGGTTGGGTCACACGGTCCAGCCACCACATCGCATATCCCTATCTCCCTCGCAAACTGGGCTTGCACACTCCAGTTCGAGCTCTCACATGCCGGTAAAATTCCCGGCCCACCAACTGCTGCCATTGGTCGGGACAGGACCGTGCATGACCCCTCCTTTGAGGGTCACCCAACTTCATTGCATCGGCATGGCGGAAAAGTAATCACCACCTCCTCCAGATCTAGATATGCTCTACGGATATTGTGAACCTTCAGAAAACCCCACTCCACGCGACAGTGCAGTTCCAAAGGCAAGTTTAGAACCTCATCCTCATCATGCCCCCCCGTAAGCAGAGAGACCGTGGTAAGGGAAAGGCGAAGGTAGATGACGACGAGCCATGGGAGGACCCTCCCTACGTCAAGTGGATGAAGGAGCAGTGCGAGAACGGCAATATGCGTGGTAAAATAAAGCGGGAAGCAGCTCCTAGGCGGCACGGCGCCAGCTCGAGCCCAGCGCGTGGCGCCCACGACAGCTCTGACGGCGGCGGTGACACCGACGTGAGCGATGACGATCTCGAGGAGATCGTCTCCTCCAGCGGATCCGAGGACGACTCCGATAACTCAAACGCGAAGGACAGTAGCGACGAGGAGGAGTCCGACGCGGATCCCGCAGCCTCGGAGGCTGGCCCAAGTACACGCAAGCGCAAACGTGACGCGAAATCGAAGCGCATGTGGAGCGATGAGGAGCTTACTGCACTGGCCGCCGCTAAGTGGTACACCCGCGACGATCTGAAGCAGATGCGTGGGAAACAGGGCAATCAATATTGGAAGAAGCTCCACGCACACATGAAAAAGAGCGGCGCAAAGTGGAAGCGCAACAGCACCGCCATGCAACACGCATGGAAGCGCATTGGGGCAGAGTACCGCGACACTCTCCGCCACAACAGCACGTCAGGGAACAAGCCCAAGCGGAAGAAACCCTGGTTCGAGTATGTTTACCTCATTAAGAAGCTCCCTGCCAACGTTAAGCCGCACGTGTTGGATGGTGGCGGAGCAGGAGAGACACACGCTGACCCTGTAGCACCTATACGCGATGACGCCGACATGGGCGAGGGTGGAATGGTGACGCCCAGGACCAATCTCCGTGATCGTCAAGTCCTGCGGGCCGGTGGCCTTGAAGGCAAGTGTGTCAGCTAGCAAATCCGTGCTATCCCTTTTAACTTTCTAATTTATCTTGCATGTGACAGCCACATTTTATGAAGCTTTTGATTATAACAATAACCTTGCATGACAAGAAACGCTGGCATTATGCATCCTACACCACCACTCCCCTGTGCAGGCACCCCTTCACCACTGCCCCCCAAGCGTCCCCGTGTCAACGAGACCGCCACCATGGCGGCAGCGAAAGTCATCACTGATACAATCACAACATGCAATGGTCAGGCGTTGAGGCAGCTAAGCGACACGGTGCAACTCCTCGTGACAGCCATCCACATGGCTGCCACGCTGTGGAGGGCTCCACCTCCACAACCCCAGAATGTGGCGCCGCCACCGCACGCCAATGCGCACGCCCTCACGGACACGCCGGGCGACGAAGACTCGCCCGCCTTAGGCGGAGAGACCGGCGACGTTCCCCAGGATGAGGACGATGAGGCGCGCGATGACAGGAAGTCGGACTAGTCGCGCTCAAGGCTCCACGGGCGGTGCCTCCTCAGGTAAGCACGATGCATGTGCTTCCCAAACTGCTTCCTCCGCTTGCGCAGGTCGGACTGTCCAGAACTTTCTGCATCACACCATGCATAGGTCCTCATGCCACTCCGGTGGTACCACGGTGGGCCGGTGCCCATCCACACCGGCCACTGATGCTTGATTGTACGGTTCCTTGGCTCGTCGGTGCGCAGGATCATGTTATGCAGGATGATGATGCACGCAGTCCCCGCACACACACGTGTCAACTTGCTCTCGTGTCGCCGGCCGAACAGACGCCACCTCCCCTTCAGCGCACCAATGGTCCGCTCCACAACCATGCGGGTGGCGGAATGGATGTAGTTATACGTCTGCTCCCAGCTCTTCATCAGGCGCCTGCGGGTTGCATTCACAGGAGTGAGGCAGTAGCTGCGCAGCGGGTAAGCAGCATCACCGACGATCTGGTACGGTCCGAGGTCACCATGCTCTAGGCGGGCGTGCAGTTCGGACTGCTGGAAGATGCCCTGATCATGCATAGATCCCGGGTGCCCGACGGTGTAGTCCCAGACATTTCCCTTGCTGTCGCATGTAACCTGCAACTGGGTGGAATAGACGGACTTCCTGTTGTAATACTCTTGCATGTGATTCTCCATCCCCCTTATCTCGATATGTGTCCCACCAATTGCTCCAACAACATTCGGCACCCCCCGTACTTCCTTGAAGTCGGATGCCATCTCCGCCATCTCCTCTGCAGTGGGAAAGCGCACCCAGGTCTTCTTGAACCTCCGGGGGAAGTGCACAAGGAAGGCCTCCACAATCCTGTGCACAATGGTCTTGGGCAGACCGAAGTAGAGGCCCAGGTCAATGAAGGTCATGGCGCTGGCAAAGTACTTGATAGGGATGAGGACACAAAGGTCGAGCGGGATCCCGAGCTTCTCAACGAAGTGGCTCATGGGGAGGGCCATGACAGGTGCGATGTACTCCAGCAGTTCAGACGAGATGCGGAAGACGTTGACAAAGTCATCGTCCTCCATAATGCGGAGCTCAGTCACCCATTCCGCCATGCGTCGGGCGCGACGCTCCTTCCGCTGACGTTGGAGGCGTTCGATCCTCCTGCGCTCTTCAGCGGCCGCCTCATCGTCCCTAGCCTGCGTAGCCCCTTGCATCGCGATCCACTGCAGGGCACCAATGGCCACTGTACGGTTGAAGCTCTCTAGATAGAACCCATATAATAGGTGCACAGCAATGCAGAGCAAGAGACCATCCAGGGAGGACATGAGGGACGGACTTAGCAGGTGAAGAAGAAGCGCATAAGGACTGTGCTTGGACTGCCTTTGGACCCCTCATTGCTCGTCCTGTAAAGACGAGTTGCAGCTGGTTGACCAGGCGCGGGGTGTTTTTACAGTTTGCCAATTTCCCATTTAACTCAACCACTTCACGCTTGCCAATTTACAGGCCTTTTGTGAGCGTCAAGTTTACCAGTTGCCAGTGCCAGGTGTCGAAGACCTCAAATGGTAGGATAAGGATAAGGATGCGAGGCAGCCCGTTAGAGACTTCAAAAAAAAAAAAAAAAAAAAAGAGAGAGAGAGAGAGAGGGAGAGAGAGAGAGAGAGAGAGAGAGAGAGAGAGAGAGAGAGAGCAAGAGAGAGAAAGAGAGAGAGAGAGAGAGAGAGAGAGAGAGAGAGAGAGAGAGAGAGGGAAAGAGATGGGAGAATGTGGAAAGGAGAGGGACTGGAGGAAGGATGGTACACGGAGATCTTGAAGGCATAGCACCGAGTATGTATAAGCCCCCGGGCTGGCCTTATGACCAAAGGCTAATCACCCAATACACCACACCCGGTTGCCCCCACGTGCAGTGGCGGACGACAAGTGGCGAGCGGCGGAATGGGACCCATACGAGAACGCGGTCACAGACGACACGGTGAAGGTTATGCGCAACCGACTGCGTAACCAACTGCACTGGTGGATATCGTGGTGCGGCAGCAGTTTTATTATCTCGATCATTGCCAGGGGATATTGGCTGCCTTGGAAAACTATAGAACCGCCACCCTTCGAAACAACAAACCACGCGGGTGTTCATGCACACACCACGTTCACTCGTGAGGCCATTCGCGACTTAATTACGTCGGGCGCGGCCACAAAGGTATCCTCGCGGACTGCGCTCTCGTGCGTAAGCACACTCAACGTGGTGGAACAACGCGACAAATGTCGCCTCATCCTCGACCTACGCAAGGTCAACCAACACCTCCAAGTCCCCAAATTCAAATACGAGGGCCTGAATCGGGTTTCAGAGATCATTCGACGCAACGACTGGTTGTTCACCATTGACCTAAAGTCGGGCTACCACCATGTTGAGATGCACCCATCATGCTGGAAGTTCCTAGGCTTCCAATTCGAAGGCGAGTTCTACTGCTTCCGAGCTTTGCCGTTTGGACTGGCGACAGCACCTTTCGTCTTCACCCAGTTGATCAAGCAATTGGCCAAACGTTGGCGTGCATGTGGCATCCGCGTAGTCCCATATGTTGACGACTTGCTATTCCTCTGTGACTCTGCGGAGCAAGCACGCAAGACATGCACAGAGGTTCTACGCGACCTGGGGGCGGCAGGTTTTGTGATCAACGAGAAAAAATCGCGCCTCCAGCCGGCCCATCAAACACGGTTTTTGGGGATGGAGCTTGACACGGAAAGCGGCATGTTTAGCATCAGATCCGATCGGCGGGCACAGTTCCTGGATACGCTCAACACACTCATCTCTAAAGGGCAACGCGACCAACAAGTCCCAATTCGGCAAGTCGCTCGTATCACCGGAATGTTGAGCTCCATGTCCCTCGCATTGGGCACGACGGCACGCGCCTTCAGCCACGAGCTGCTACAAGTAATTGATGCAGCGGAATCTTGGCACTCAAGAATCTGGATGCCACGGGCCGCCATTGAGGAGCTGATCTTTTGGCAACTGCACTTCGACCAATTTAATGGTGCCCCATTTCACCTGAGCCATCAATTCGATGCCGTGATCCACGTCGACGCGAGCGCTCACAGCTGGGGCGCCACCCTCACCAAGTTTACCGACGCGTCGTATGAGGCAAGCGCCAGCATGCCGAGCGAGCTCCTCCCAACCTCAAGCACTCAAAGGGAGCTCGAGGGAGTCCTCTGGGCGCTAGAGACGTTCACGTCTCACATTAAAAGCGGCCACGTTTTGGTTCGCGTGGACAACCAAGGAGTCGTGTTTATCTTGCGCAAAGGGGGGTTCAGCCAACCTCGGCTGACACTGACATGTCAAGCAGTCATACAGTTCTGCCTCAAGAACCATACACGCCTGGCAATCGAATGGATCCCACGGGAGCTAAATGCCCACGCGGACGAACTGTCTAAAATCCAAGACCACGACGACTACTCGTTGCACATGCCATGGTTCCTCCTACTGGAACGCCGATGGGGTCCCCACACGATTGACCTCTTCGCGAACATTACCAACAAGAAGCTGCCACGATTTTGCTCCAAGATACCGCACCCAAGCGCCACAGCAATTGACGCGTTCTCGATCTCGTGGAAAGGCGAGCGCTGCTTCACCTTTCCGCCCCCCGGCTTGATCCCGGCCACACTCTCTCACGCCAGGCGCACACAAGCCGAGTTGACACTCGTCGTCCCCAAGTGGCCGGGAGCAGCATGGTGGCCGTTGCTACAACCCTCCCCACATAAATGGGCCCCAGACGTGATCGCATGCTTGCCCCTCGCGCAAGGATGCCAGTGCCTTCGACCTGGCACGCACGCAACAGCATTTTCCGGACTCGGCCTACCGCATAGCCCAATCATTGCCCTGCATGTAAAATATCATATGTAACTAATATTCGAATGGTAATTCTTTCAGGATTGTTGACCAAGCTTCAAAACAAACTGTTACAAGTTATAAATGATGTTCGCGTACCATCCACGATCGAGACATATCAACCTTACTGGCTCAAATTTCGCAACTTCTGCACTCGAGTCAAGTTAGCATTCCTGCCAGCGACGGACCTCACGCTGGCACTCTACCTAGTCCACGCGCTGAACACCAAGGCAACGGTGTCAGCGATCAACCTCACGTGCTCCGCCGTGGCCTTCGCCCATCGGATGACCGGCGAGGCATCCCCAACGAACGGCCCGTTCACGCTGCAAGTACGGGAGTTTGCTAAGCGACATGGCCTACGCCAGACTAGGACCAAGGAACCCGTGTCACTCCATCAAGTGCACAACATGGCACGACCCTTCCTAGAATCAACAGTGCCGGCGGAATATCAGAAACGCTTGATACCTCTCTTGATGTTCGCAGCATTCCTGCGCTACTCCGACCTGATCTCCCTCCAATGGAACGACATCCAGTTTGAAGGGGCGGCCATGTGGCTAATGATCCCATACTCCAAGACGGACAAAGAAGGCAAGGGCACGTGGATCCCGGTCGCAGCGTCAGCAGGGCCCTACTGCGCAGTGAGATGCACACGGGAGTTCATTCGCATCGCAGGCCTTACAAACATGCCACACGGACCTCTGATCCGGGTTTTCAACAAAAGGGCACAAGCATCGCCGCACGACAAATCGCCTTCATATCCAACCATCCGGAGCTGGTGCCTCGAGGCTTGCAGGAAGGCGGGACTCAACGCCACGCACATCGGAACACACTCATTCCGCAAGGGCGCAGCAACAGCAGCAGCAGCTTTAGGCATCCCCGACCGGCTCTTCAAACGAATGGGGCGCTGGCGAAGCGACGGCGCGAAGGACCTATACGTCACCATTGCCCAAGACCAACTCATCGACCTCTCCACCCAGCTGCAGGACACCTCAGCAGCCCCATCGCCTGCTAGGCACCAGCAATCGTTGGAGAGGCACCGCCGACCCAAAATGCACTTGCCTCAGAAGACCCACTTGGAATGAAGCACGATGCCTTTGCAAGATGGACTAAGCAAGCTTTCACAATATTATAATTTGTAAAAGTGTAACACTTTTTCAATTTTCGTATTGTGAAAGCGAGGGCGTGGCCAGCAAAGCAAAGGTAGCGGCTCGACGCTACTCACCCCTCTTTTGCCTACAAAAGAGGAACGTGATTCCAGTAGCTCCACCCACGTTCTTCATTTCCAATTTCTAGTTTTACTTTCCCACCACCCACCCCATTGTGTACCATTGATGAACGAGAACGTTGTACTTGCCCACTTGGAATGAAGCACGCTGCCTTTGCAAGATGGACTAAGCAAGCTTTCACAATGTATGGAATGATGTATACCATATATTACCCACCACCAACAAGCCACAACTCCAGCGGTTGTGGAAGCATTCTCTATCGCAAAATTTTAGGCCAGTACTGCTGTGCGCCAGAAATGCACACGTCACTCCCAGGAACGCCATATGATGAGTCGAATCCCGTAGCTTGCTTCCTAAACTCCTGCACATTTTCGGTTTGCACACAATTCCCAACCTCTCGTAGTCGGCTGTGCCTGGTGTCAGAATTCTAAGGTTTATGCCTAAGAAGTCCTGACAAAGGGTGTAGAGAAGGGCCTGGGGGGGACAAACCTGTACATTTGTACCGTCATCGCCCCCTAGCTTGCCGCGCGTCGCCCTGCTGGCCGCGCTCCGTCCTGCCCTGCCCGTGCACCGCCTTGCCGCCTGCTGCGCCGCCCTGCCCTGCCCACGCGCTGCCCTGCTGGCCGCCGTGCCGTCCTGCCCTGCCCGCGCGCCGCCCTGCTGGCCGCCGAGCCGCCATGCCCTGCCCACGCGCCGCCCTGCTGGCTGTCGTGCCGCCTTGCCCTGCCCGCGCGCCGCCCTGCTGGCCGCCGCGTCGCCCTGATCTGCCAACGCGCACTTCCCTAGTGCCCGCGCGCAGCCCTGCCCGTCACGCCGTCCTCATAACGCGCCACCCTGCTTTGCCCGCTATGGCTACTCTCAGCGTTCTCACATTCGATCACGAGGGCCGTCCTATCCAGTTTGATATGTGGCTCGATGACTTACAGCTGTACCTACTGAGCGATTCTAGAGACATCGTTTCGTTGTTTGACCACACGTCTGGAGCCTCTCTTGCCCCTCCCGACACATCTCA